TTCTGGAAATGGCAGCCCTATTTTCTGCTGCTTCTCCTCACAGTGTTGTGTTCCTCCTTCGAAGGTAGAAGGGAGATGCAAAGCGATGCAGGCCAGTAAAACGGGGCTGCCATTTCCGCCTCATGCAGGGCAACAAAAGAAGTTTGTGGGACTAAAAAAAAAAGTTCAATCAGACAGAAGCTAGGACTTATTTTTGGAGTATGTGTGATATACAGTTAAAGGGATGAAGTTTCAATTGTGTAATCACCATAACCATCTTGATCTTCTGGATGGCTCCCAAAAACAGCATCATTTCTATGAAATTAAATTCTTATAGCATTAGTTTTAATGCCAACCTAGAGAGATCAGGTAGAAGTGAGATAGGCCATTGCAAAATAGGGAGAGACGATTGTTAAAGGAAACTTCCTGGTTAAACTTTTGAAAATTAAAAAAAGAAGAATCCAGAAACACACTCATTTTCACACAAATTCTCTTGCTACAAATACTGATACTGCTATAAAAATGATCAAGGAAGTAAGTACCATTTTCTTTTCTAGACTGATGGATGGTAATTCCCTGATAAAAGTTTACAGAACAGCTACTTTGCCTCAAGGCAATTATTTATGGTAACCTAGATGTAATACATCTATACATGGTAATATATACAGAGAAATATTTATTCATTTATTTAAATGTAGATTTAAAGAAAGCATATGATGAAGACAATAGGATTGAATTATAGAATCAGCGATGTGAAGTTGATTGCTGAAGAGAATTATAGTGGCATATGATTGAAATAAAACATGAGAGAACCATGCTTAGAAAACTGTTCAACCCTAAGAAGGAAGTAACACAAGAATATATGATGTCCCCTTAATAATATGTTTGTGGACAAAATGTATGCGCTACTGTGATGACAGTGGAAATATACTGTTTGAGAACAAAAATGTATGCATACTTTTCTATGAAGTTGGCGCTGTATAGCAGATAACTGAATAGTTTGCAGTGAATCTCAAGACAGATTACATGCAACAAAAATGTTGTAACAAAAATAATGCATCTGAGAAATACTATATGAAACAACATGTAGTTGTTTTCAGGTAAAATGGATTAAACAAATTCAAGCTGTATGCAGATGGCAAAAAGCTAGAACAGAAGATAAATTAATAGAGACTTATGGCACATTCTCCCCTCTGAAGAAGTCAATTCCATCCCTTCTTATTTTCCAAATATCCCTCACAATCTAGTTTTGTTATTAGGTCTGGAGTCTCAGGGGACTGGAAGTTAGCATAAACTAGTTTTAGCTGTTTCCTTATCTGAAGCTTTTAATTTGTTTGGTCTACTATTATTATTTTTGCATTCTGCATAATGTCCAAAATGGAATAGCATGATAGATATGATTTATAGATATTTATGGAAGAAGTCTGGCTGGTCCATGATGAATGCATCTTTCGGACCATGGCTATCAGTGGAACATTCAGAGTCAAAGCAAAGTCTTGATTTCTGTTATTGTACATTGTGATCCCGAAAGATCACAGACTTCACCAAGAGCCAATGAATAGATTTAGATGTAAATTGAAATAATATTATTGTTTTGTATTTCCACTTTCTTTGAGGGCTAAGATAGCAATGACTAAATGCTAATTTCATTTTCTTCTTTTATATACATATATGTTTAGTACTCAGACACTATAAAGTTCTGAATCCTAAATATGAATAATCACACAATGATTAATTAGTTGAGGCTATTATTATGTAGGAAGCTACCCAGAGCCATTTGCTATGAGATGGGCAGCAATAAATAATAATAAATAAATAATTCATAATTAATATAAATAAATAAATTTCTTTTTACAAAAAAGAAACTGAACATATCTACCATTTGTGACTCAAGGACAATTTGACCAGGGTGTGGGGTGGGGGAATGCATTATCATTATGCAATATCCAAAAATACTTAACAAACCACAATCATGCTCTGAGATCACCAGCAGTTTTTTCTCCAATGCTGCCTTCATCTCTCCCTCTTTGCCTGTGAGTGAAACTTAAGTTATTGTTCATTGTACTGATATAAAAAAAGTCTTATCTTCATTATACAGTTTCTACCTGCATAAATTGTGTAATGCTTCCATAAATTACTTGGGTGGCAAAGGCAGATAACCATTAACAAATGTTATCAGATGTATGTTTGAGAAGCACTGGGAGATATATGCATATATCCTCCTCTCTGGTCACTAGCCAACCTCCACTTCAGCCATTTCTCTCCCAGCATTTCCCAGCATTTTGTTTTTTGAGTTCCAATGATATCTGTCACTTCCTCTGTCCTTTCTATTTTGACTTTCTTCAGTGTCCTCATCAGTAGATATTTTTCCACTGAGTAGTGATGTGCTGAAAAGAAAAGCAACTAAGCCAGATAAGAAGGCCAACCATCACTTTGCCTATAACATGTGGCACTTTCTGAAACAGGACAGGAACATTCAAAGAAACAGGATAGGGGTTGACAATTGGAACAACAGCGGAAAAAATATTGCTACTCAAAGAAGAGAGGAAAGTAGGGAGAAAAGAATATAACTATTGATTCTCTGAAGAAATTTCAGTCTAGCCAGCATGATCAATGACCAGAGGTGCTAGACCAGGAGTGTTAAACTCAAGGCCCGTGGGCTAGATCCAGCCTGCAGGGTGCTTAGGTCTGGACCACCAAGCCGCCCTGGAAACAGCACAGGACTGGCCTGTGGTACCTCTGTCAGCGAAAACAGAGCTTGGGAGAGCAATGCGAACACACACACACCCGGGTTACATTGTCCCTGGCAGAGGGCTAGCAAAACAAATTAAAAACAAAACAAAAGGAGAAATGTTTCCCCTTTTGCATTTGAGCATGCAAGAAGGGACAGGAAAGAAGAAAGGGAAAGAGGAAAGAGAAAGAAAAAGGAAAGATGGGAAGAGAGCAAGGAAGGAAAAATAAGGAAAGGGGGAAGAAGAATAAAGGAGAATGAAAAAGAAGAGAAGGGAGGGAGGGAGGAAGATAAAATGACGGTGAGGGAGGGTCTGAGGGAAGTCCTGCCTTAGCATTTGGCCACAGGTGTCAAGCTGGCCACACCCAGACTGGCCACACCCACCGAGATGAAACACAATCCTGACAGTGTTCAATGAAATAGATACCCCTTTGCTAGACAATAGAAGTTCAGCAACATCTGAAGGCCCCAGTTTGCTCACTCTTGTTTTGTGCTGTAGTGTAATGAAACCTGAATATTATTTTAATTGCTAGGAAAGATGGAGGTCTTTGTTCCCATTCATCCCAAAGAAAAATGAAAGTAATTTCTAGGGTTGAATGGAATCTTGAAAACTCACAGGAAAATGGGATAAGGAAAGTCCTCATATTACAACCATTCCTTGAAACTTAGCATGGTCCTGAGCAAGTGGTACTTACAATCGGTTCTTGAAGTTCCAGTCGTTACAATACTGCTAAAGGCACATGTTTAAATAGATATGGCAAATGGAATCTCTTCCTTTGAATTGTAATATATATTAGGTTTATTATTATTTCAAGACTTTGCAACAAACAAGTTCATGGGTAATTTTAGATATGCATCACACTGCAATGATATTACTTTCATTAAAACAGACATTGATAAATTAATACAAATCTTGGAATCCATGCCTCTCATCTACCTTCCTCTCTAGCACAAATGTGTGCATTTTGTGTGTGTTTGGATAACACTTTTGTTTTGGGTGGAAGCTAGTTTGGTGTAGTGATTAAGGTGCTGGTCTAAAAACCAGAGACTGTGAGTTCTAGCTCCCCCTCAGGCATGAAAGCTGGCTAGTCATATTCTCTCGACCCAGCCTTCCTCACAAGATGTTGATGTGGGGGAAATAGGATGAGGAAGTAATATGTATATTTTGGTCACCACATCATAAAAAAGATGTTGAGACTCAGTACAGAGAAGAGCAACCAGGATGATTAGGGGACTGGAGACTAAAACATATGAAGAACGGTTACAAGAACTGGGCATGGTTAGTCTAGTGAAGAGAAGGACCAGGGGAGACATGATAGCAGTCTTCCAATATCTGAGGGGCTGCCACAGAGAGGAGGGGGTCAAGCTATTTTCTAAAGCACCCGAAGGTCAGACAAGGAATAATGGATGGAACAAGGAGAAATTTAACCTGGAAATAAGAAGAAACTTTTTGACAGTGAGAACAATCAACCCATGGAACAGCTTGCCCTCGGAAGTTGTGGGAGCGTTATCACTTGAGACTTTCAAGAAGAGATTGGACTCCCATGGTGTAGGGTCTCCTGCTTGGGCAGGGGGTTGGACTAGATGACCTACAAGTCCCTCCCAACTCTGATTATCTGTTATCTGTTATGTTTCCTGCCTTGAGTTACATATAAAGTAATAAAGGTAAAGTAAAAATCTAATAAATAAAATAAACTCTTACATTCTCTACAAAGGTTGACTGGCACGAAATGGTGTACTGTATGTGGCTTTTGTTATGTCTGGACACGTTGAGATCAGCAGAACTGAACTGCAGTTGTCATATAGTGAAATCCCCAAAGCTAACTCTGAATATTGGGATTGCATTTTTATGTGCCAATTTCCCTTCCAAGAGAATTTGTTCAAATGTCACTGGGACATTCTGGAAAGCAACTCTTCCAACTATAGATGGTTTTTGTTGCTGGTGTTGTTGTTGGAGGGGGGCAAGAGAAGCAAGTTTAAAAAAACAGGCTGTCGTTCACGCCAACCAGCCCCCTCCCTTTGCCATTCCAAGACACATCTGGTTTCATTCAGGTCTCTCCTTCCTTTACCACTCGCAGGCACACACCCCCAAGGGCCCTACAACTGTCCAACAAAAAAGCGAGAAGGAATGGTGAGGAAATTTTCTAAATTAGTGAGGATTCCGGATCCTACTCCTTTTAAAAAAGAAAAAGAAAAAAGAAATGCAGGATGTGCTACAATCACCTTCTCCCCAACCCGCTCCCATCTCAAAACACCGCAAGTTTAGAAGGGTGGGGAAGAGGAAGCTTACCTGAAGGAAAAGCATAGAGTCCGATCTCAAGGATGAAGAGGATGCCCAGGGTATAACTTAGCAGGCGAGGCCGCATTGAAAAGAGGGGTCTGGGAAGCCTCATCTCGGACGAGGTGAGGGGAAGACAACTCGATGAGGCGCGGTGGATCTTCTTTCTCCCCTGGCTCCCTGTCGCCGCGCTGTCTGGATGCAGTAGCTTTCCACCTCCAAACGCTCCTCCCGTTAGGAAGGTGATGGGAGAGAAAGACGGGGCGATGGGAGAAAAAAGAGAGCCCCCCCCCCGAAGCCCCTCCCTGCCCTCTAAGAATTCAGACGCTGCGTCACGAACCCCACTGGCTGCCCAGCCAGTTGTGGGCGGAAGGGAAAGAGGCGAGGAGGGGGGAGTGAGGGAGGAAAGCTTTCTTTAAGATTTCCAAAGTGGAGGCAAACTTTCAGCGGTTTGGCAACCGGGACGATACTAAGCGGAATTGCAACACGTTGCAAACGGGGTGGGGGAAGGCGAGAGAGGGAGAAAGGCTCGGTCCTTTTGGAAACTTTCTTGAGAAAAAAAAAGAGCCGTATCTCCCTTCTCCCTCCTTTCAAAGGAGCGACCACTTCCACGTTAATTTTTGCTCCTGCGTGTATTCGAGCATTGTGCGTAATGCAACGTATAAGCGTACATGTCATGTCTTGTTACATAGTCTTTTAAAGAAAATGTAAACAAAATCTGCTACAGCAGAGAGAATGTATAGAATGTGGAAGATTCTGGCTTTACCTTCACTACCACAAAAAAGTGTGCTGCTTCCATTCAAGAACTCTATCGTTACTGTATAATGCATGCATTTCACCTTAAAATGTTATACTATCTAATTTTGAAGTAATGAAACTATCAGAATTACTATCAATTTCTCATTTTTAACATAAAGTATGTAGTCTTTATCACAATATTCTGTAAGTGGTGATTATTTCTCACACGAATAGGAATAAGATAGGCAAGACTTTCCGATAATGGATTGAACTAAAAACCTCAAGCCTCAGCAAACATGGCTGTCTTTTGGGTTGAAATGACATTGAAAAATCTTGGAAGACACCAGGTTTATGCACCCTGTTCCAGACTAGGCCTATCTATAAAGCCACAGCCCTTCCTCGAAGCCACATGCAATCAGGTCAACCAAAAATTTAACCCACAAAGTACATTTCTTGATGTTAGTCAACTGAAGAAGTGGACTTAAGACTGCAAGCTTATGATATCAAAGGCATGTCCATATAGTTTTGGTATCAATAGGAAAGTGATTTGTAGTTGGGGGGGGGGAGGAAATTTTTTTTTCAACTTCTCAGCTTAAGGTATAGGTCCCCTGGTACACTGGGTAACAAATATTTTGCTCCCTGAGCACTTATGGGTATTTCTTATAAATGTTTGGTTGCTAATCACAAAAATAACCTGTAATTTAACCCAGTGGTCGCCAACCAGTGGTTTGGGGACCACTGGTGGTCCATGAGAAAATTTTGGTGGTCCGCAGAGAAATATCACCCCAAAGCCCCCCCCCCCCAAGTAATTAATCCAGGCTGCGCGGGAACACAAGACTGCGCCACCCACATGGCCCACGGGAACACAAGGCTTGAAATAGTGAGGGGAAGGGGGAAGGACGGAGGAGGGAACTTGCCCCACTCGCCCCACACACCTGCCCTGGCCACCTGGCTGCTTCTTTCCCCTTCTTTCTTCTTCTCCTTTTGGCTGCATGCAAGGAAAGCAGCAAAAGTCTTTCTTTCTTTCCCCCAAACTCCGAAGACTCAGAAATGAGTCTTTGGGATCCTGCAAGGCACCCTGCTCCAAGACTAACTACTGGCAGAGTTTGGGGGAGAAAAAGAAAGACTTCTGCTGCTTTCCTTGCATGAAGCCAAAAGTCTCTCACTCTTTCTCTCTCTCTCCCCCCCCCCCTGAGAACGGAGCTGGAGCTGGTATCCTGTGATCCCAAATAAAGAATGATTGATCAGTAGGAAACCGGGTTGGGGAATTTTCCTGCAGACTTTTTTGGGGATTTTCCCAGGGTCCACGGGATTTAAAATTATGAGTTTGGTGGTCCCTGAGGTCCAAAAAGTTGGTGACCCCTAATTTAACCTACATTCAGTGTTATAGAAATTTTCTGTTTTTTCAATGTACACTCTTCATTACCTG